CCCTAAGCCCTAAACCCTACCCACAAGAACGTCCCAGGGGCGCCCGGATAGTCTCTGACTCGACACATTTGGTGATCGCGGCAGCGATTGATGTAGGGGTCTCCTTGCTGATATGCTTCATACCCACTCCTCAGTCAGGCAAACTATGAGTTTAAGGTGCGGGGTTTAGGTATTTGTGCTGCCCCAATCATGGAGATTCGGGTGGGAAACTTGAGAACGAAAGTGCGCTTGCACGGTGAGTTTTAAGGATTAATGTTCCAACAATTGCGGTGTCTACAATTATCACAAGTCTTGCGGTCCCATAAGGGGGGTAGGGCTAGATAGGTTAATGTTATATATATATATATATGTATATACATGTATAAAGGGTTGATCAACTCAAGATGGTTTATGGGAGTTCTTAAAATACTGGTAATAACAATGATCCTGATATGTTGGCGGCCGCGATAGACCAAAAAAGGGAGTATGTGGGGGTTATTTAAACGGTTTAGGGTTTAGGGTTTGGGCTGTTGTGGCCATATACGAACCATAGGAAAGGGATCTTCTTGTTCGGTGTTTCCGTCGTATTCCGCTGCAACATGAACATTTTTCCAGCAATGCCCCAGATTCCAATACCCAGCTGGTTGACGCGCTCGGCATGCATAAACTGGTCGAACACGCACGGCACGATGATGGTGGGCTTGCCGGAGCGCACCGAGGCGTTCATAGTTCCTGCACAAAATACTTTTCTTACTGGGGGTTAGTAAGGAATAGGGGAACATTCCATATATGGATTAATACTCCCCTATTCCCTACTAACCACCAGTAAGTTTTGAGGGAAAAAACAATGTCCTGTACCACGCCAAGTAGCGGATTCCCTCAAGAACTTACAAAGTTCAAGAACCCTATGTCGTGCAAGGTTTCATCCATCAAGCCCACGGCAATTGATTTTGGCTTGGGATTTCTGAATGGGTGAAGATGGAACAGTCTGAGACCGCGGGCTTGTCCTTGAAGGGAAGAGGCTACATACCCCGAATGATTCAAAAGTATCAAACAACACTCCGACCCCTCGCAAGAACCCAAAACCCTAAGCCCAAAAGAGACTCCCTACACCCTCCCTGAACCCAGAACACAAAAGAGCCTCCCTGAACCCTAAACCCTGAACTCCTGAAACCAACCCTTTGGATGTCGCGACTCTCATTACCAGCGAAGAGCAACGTCCAAAGATCAACTGCATGTAGGAGCTCCGCAACATTTTCGAGCTTAGGGTAATAAGTAAAGACCACCCCTAAACCCTAAACCCAGACCCAAACTTGCGTCAAAAAGAAGGCTGCCCTGACATTCCCGCTGGATCCTCGAAGAAGGTCCGGTACTAATACCACATACAGCGATGTAGGTGTCTGCGCGTGTATGTAAATATGTAGATGAAAATGCGTGCCGCACAGGTATGCGTGCTTAGCCACCACGAAGTCAAGCCCTAAGCTGACCCTAAACCCAAACCACAAACCCTAAAACCCATCCTAAACTCTCGGCCAAACCCTGCACCCTTTCAAGCCAGCCCTAAACCCTGCACCCTAAACCCTAAATCCTAAACCATAAATCCCTAAACCCTAAACCCTTAACCGCATGTCCTGCGCCACCATGGTGTATGGCAGCTCCACAGCGCGGAAAGAGCAAGCCATGTGGACTCTTGGCCATGAAGAGCACACTTTCCTGGCAGTACCTTGACTTCTGGGCCACTAGTCTTGCTACATTTTTTAGGGTTTAGGGTTTAGGGTTTCGGGTTTAGGGTTTAGGGCTTAGGATTTAAGGCCTAGGGCTTAGGGGCTTAGGGCTGAGGCTCCCTATGCAGTTTCTCAATAAGAATTTGCCCATTCTTTTTTGTTATTAAAGGCATGTAAGCGGTGGTGCCCATGCAGGAAAGAAGCTCACAGGTGCAGGAAAGTCCTGGCTTGTACGACTATTTGGTTCAGACCTTCGTTTCCAATGAAACCATGTCAACCCTCACATAATCCTGGCGGACCATAAAAGTCCCGAGAGGCACTGTCAAAACCCTTGAATCCTGAAGAGCGCCCTGACCTTATGAAAAAAAGATGAAAACATATCCCGAGCTTTAAGGCCGTAGAGTCTTGAGAAAAAGTACGTACTGATAGGAGATTAAGATCCCCGCTGCTTCCCTAAAAGTGCTCATGCTTCAAGTTTAGGACCAGGTATGATCCAACATGAAAAACAAGCAACCATACGGACTATCCCACTTATCTCAAGCGCATCCTAGGGAGCATGCCTAAGCAGGATATACAAGACGCTATAACCCAGCAGTCGTCAAAGCTGCGAGAAAGGCTCAGCAAGCAGACAGACAAGCCGTAACGACATCAGCTGCAGAAAACTGAAAATTGAAAGTGGAGCCCAAGGAAAGGCCAAAAGCCCAGAAAAATCGACAAGAAAAACACTTCAACAACAGCTAATTTGCCCAAGCTGAATACAGGTCGTCAAGGTTTGGAGTTTGGGGTTTAGGGCTGATGATTCAGGCCTTCCAAATAAATCCGAAACCTTTGGGGTCCTGAACTACATGTACCAGGGATCCCCTACACCCAAGGTTGTACCCCTCAACTGTCTCCTTGATGTACCCCTCACATGAACCCCTCACACGAAATAATGCAGTGGCCGGTAAAGCCAGAAGAACAGGAAAGCTAAATCCCTGAACCCTTAAACTGATAAACAGTAGATCATGACAGTAGATCACGAGTAGCACTTCGGTGGACCCCCCACCCAGTAATTGTGACTACAAGGAATAATAAGGATTATATTAGGGGTCCTCTTATATTCCTATTATGCCACTATTACAGGGTGGGGGGTCCTTCTAAACCCTAAACCCTAAACCCCTAAACCCTAAACCCTAAAACCCTAAACCCCTAAACCCTAAACCCCTAAACCCTATAGATCATGAGTAGCAGTGAAGGTACTGCATCAGCTCGGCCGAATCGGATTCGCCATCTATCTCCTCATAGGCCATACCGGCCCAACCGCTGCAGATCACCTGCCAGGACTTTCGGGGTTTAAGGGCTTAAGGGCTCCGGACTTAGGGGTCTCTTCAGTCATAGTTGTGGGTCTAGAGTTTAGGATTTTAGGGTTTAGGGTTTAGGGTTTGTATGCACGGCTGAGTCCCAGTGGACTTTGGGTCAGGTTCGCCTGTAATGATGGGCGGTTCGGCTTCGTGGAGACCTTTAATCCCCTCTCTCTACTAACTAGGTAGGCTTCTTCCTAAACACAAGTGTTCTCTTTATAATGATAAACGTAAGGGATTAAAGGACTCCTGCTGATAACTTCAATTCTTCCCACCTAGCCTAATGACAAACCCATTCTGCCACCAAATAGTAGCACACATTCCCAACATAATACTACTAGCCACTAATCCCTAACCCCTGAACCCTAAACCCTAAACCCCTGAACCTTAAACCCTAAATCCTAAATCCTAAACCCTTAACCCTAATGTCACCATTAGGTGGATGGGGGTCTTGCTCGCGGAAGAAGATAAGTAACTCCTGGGTGCCTCTGGCATTGCTGCTCGAACTGTAGCCAAACCCTAAAACCCCTGAACCCTAAATCCCTAAATCTCTAAATCCCTAAACCCCTAAACCCCTAAACCCTAAAGGACATATGACGTAGGGTTTAGGGTTAAGGATCATATGACTACAATACACCCTTACGACATTATTCGTATGAGCTATAGTCTGAACTCCTAGTATCCCCCATAATAACCCCAATAGTAGTTCCCTATATACTCCCCTCTAGAACCCCCCCTATGGGGAGTTTAATTCTGGCTCATATGACTACACTACACCCTTATGACATTATTCATATCAGCTGATGTTGTCGATACTCCATTGCTCTTTCGGAAAAATCGTTGATGAAATTGAAAATGTTTTATCTGAACAAGACATGGGCGCTTCTCAACATAGGGGTCCCCATTATTATACCCCAGGATACTATAGTCCTTAGTATACGGACCCCTAGCTTTGGAAACCTCCAAAATTTGTGGTGCCTTTTTCGAGGCCGTATGACACGGGGGCCCCAAATAGACACCATGATTTTGACACTATATCCCATGCTCCTACACACGAAAGTCGGATTTTGAACCAAAAAGAGTTGCTTCCAGCTTCCTGACTCCCAACTGTTATGGGGCACTATCTAATGAGTATGGCAACAATATGGAGCCTTTCATCAGCAAGTAAATTCAACATGCTGTGCCAGCCAGCAGACGTAACACTTGCACATTTCAAGCACCACTGTTGGCGTGGGCTCTTGATAGGCAAGAAGGGTGGCTTGTGTTCACTTAAGTCGAATCGGATCGGTGCTAAATTGATCTCTGCCCACCCACCTGCCACCCTAAACCCTAAACCCTAAACCCTAAACCAATCCTCACTTCTCCACTCCCTTCTCCCCTCAGCTCCTCTCAACCCTTCTCAGGTGGGGGCGGTAGGTGGGCACTGCTTCTACACTGCAGGGAAGGAAACTCCAGGGATAGTTTGGGTTTAGGGTTTAGGGTTTAGGGTTTGGGGTATGGGCGCGGAAGGAATACTTTGGGGTTGAGCAGAAAGCATCGACATCCTAAGATCTAAATAGCTCGCAGTTTAGGATTTAAGGTTTTTAGGATTTAGGGTTCAGGGTGGAGAAAAAAGCTACAGCCTCTGAGCCTCTGCACCAAACACGCGTGAACGCTTCGCGACCCTGAACTAGACCACGAAACCCTAACCTCACACGTTATGCCGCTCAAAACCCCCAACGTTCCTCAATCCAAAAACCTCCAAAGATCCTTAAGCCCCACCTTATAGCACCCAAACTCAAAAGCATCCTAGAACCCGAAGTACCACACCTTCTACCACCCAAACATGAAAATCGCCAAGTCCTAAAGCCTACGCATGATACACCCAAAAACCCAAACTCCCTAAACCCTAAAGCCCACACATCATACTCCCCAAACCCCCCAAGCCCTAAATCACACACATATCAAGCCGCAAACCTCTAGAGCCCCTAAACCCTAATTCCCACACCTAGGGTTAAGGGTTCCGAAACAAAAACTGGAAAGTGATTTAAAGCCCGAGGCACGCCGCGTTGACCCGACAGTTTCAAAGCGCGCACACACAGCAAAGTCAACTGCTTGGGGGTGAAGACTTTCCTCCGTCATGTTTGAGATCAAGGGCTTAGGGGTTATAGTCCCCCCTAAGTAGAAAGAGTATGGCTTTAGGTATTTTTTTAAGAAGATCCCCATGTTCTCCATATTTTATCTACTTAAGGGGACTGTAGGGGTTGGGGCTTTGGGCCTACTGTGAAGGGGTTAGCGTTCAGGCTCAAGGGTTTAGGATTCAGTCCGAGGGGTATGCAGCTTGCTGCTTAAGCTCCAGGGTTTGTGCATTGCGGCGTTCGGGGAAGTCCCATATGTAGACACATGATTAATAACCCCCCCTCCTTTTAAGGGCCTTAATATTAGGATCCCTATTATAATCCCTATTAAGGGGAGGCGGTTTATTCGTCAGGGGTCTGGGCCGATGGCACAGCCCACTGGAAACTGCCCACACTCTCATCGAACTTCCTATGCGCCAAGGAGTAGAAGGGCTTTCTTTCTTGTGTTGTTGCCTCACCCTGAAACTGTGATTCCAAGCATGCAGAAATGGTAGTTTCCCTAAATGGGAGGGGGGGGGGGGTACCCCAAAATACGATGATCCTTAT